GATAACAGAGAACTAAGCAGTACTGAAAAATTAATGAAATTAAGCAGTAGTCAACTCTAGAAATCACACTGTGTATGCAATTCAATAATCCCTAATTCCAGCTATTTTCTATGTTAAATACGTTAAATAACTTGGCATTTAAAACCTTGTAAAAACAAGCAAGCCATCTAAAAAAGACTTCAACAGCTGTATTAAAAATGCATGTCAAACATTCATTTGATAAAAAGTCAATTTAGACTTGAAGACAACCTCTTAAACCAAGCATCATGAAACACCCCCAAAAATTACAGCAGCCAGTTCTAGAATCAGGTAATGATAAATAAGGTAATGTATACTTCTGTTTTTATATTTATTATACTGTGTACCTCTGCCTTCTCACAGGTCTTTCTGGCTTTACAGCTTTACAATTTTTGTTGGTTTAAGCTTACAGAGAAGGATAGAAAAACCCCTTTGATTCATATAAGCATGATTTTACAAAGTTCAAAATAAAATAATCTGTATCAATAACTGAAGGAGTATGCACTATAAGCATTAAGAGGGATACCTTGTTAAAATGATCACCAATAACTTCCCAGATCCTAGACCACTGTAACCTGATCCGGCCCATGTTGTAGTAAGAAATCTCTACGATCTTCTGCAGACTAAACATTCGAGGGTGGGTGGCAGACAGCAGCTCATCCATAGACACAGCACAAAGCCAGCGAACGAAATCCACTGTTAAATGACCACAGGTTTTAATGCAATATTTTTCCAAAGTTTAGTTTAGAGGGGTGGGGAGAGGTAGGGAAGAGATGAAACTTACCAATAGCATTTCCATCCAACCTTGTAGATCCCGTAAATATTCTGTAGAGTGCAGTTAAAGACATGGTTAAAGTTTCTTAAGAAAAGCACCTGTTAAATGTTTTCAAGCCTCCTTGTCTTATTTTTTTAACAATATACAGACTGTCTCTGATTATTTTTATTTATTAAAAAACAATTAGTTTTTCACAACTGTAAAGACATAGTGAGAGTACTGTCAGCTTTTATCATTCCTGATTGAAATATACAACTCAAATGTCTCCAGAGTGCACAATACTCATTTGCCATGAAAAGTAGATATTTGAAACACTTCCCATTAAGAAGCAGGGAGGGACACTGCAAACCTAAACAGCTATGGTGTGTTTGACACCAAGCTTCCAGTGCACTTGATGTGATTTTATTGCAAGACAACTTTTCATTGAACTGACATCGATCTTGCTACCTGTACTTCAACCAGAGAAATGTTTGTAAGCCTTCAAAATGATACCTCTTCATCAATTTTGACAACCATTAAGAAAATTATATGTTCTGATTTCTTACAAGCTGAGCAAGCAAGATTCATGAACACTTCAGTCTGATCACTACTGTATGATATAGACAGGGAATGTTCATAATATGTATTCTGCCTAGCCAAATCCAGTTAAAATAAATGTGATTCATAGAACGGAAGACTGGAATAATAATTTTGGTCATTTCAGAAAACATCTACATAACCTAGAGGAAAGCAGGGAGTCAGTAATTACATTTAGGAGAAAAAGAGTCTGACAATAATGCCCTCAGTACTAAGGCAAAATGAAATTTGCAATCTGTTACTATATACAGCAAATCAAGATTCAGCAGACACTACAGCAGACTCCATTCTGTAAGTCTTCTGCAGTAATTTTTTTATCAGTAAAAAAGCTTCTTGCCTAATCTTTGCCCTGCTCCTTCTTGCACGAACACCCATGATGCAAAAATAAATCCACCCCGGTCTAACTGAAACACACTTCTCTATGGTAGTTTTTATATAGGCTTTTTCCAAATAAATTAGTAAGGTCCTTTTCTTAGCACAGGGTATTCAAATACTGCTTGAAAAACTTCAGGTGGCAACAAGAAATTTAATACAGTACCTGTCTACAGCAACAACAACACTCTGGGAGCTAGTTTCTCCAATGGATTCCTGAATACTTGCTATCTGCTTCCAATCCACGTTTCCACCAACTACAGTGAGAAAAAATTGAAAAATGGGTAAAAAAGAATAGAGAATGAGTTGGGAAGAAAGAAGAATAAAAGTTGTGCCACTACCACTATAATTAAATATATTTTTAATTCACAAAAAAAAGAAGCACATTATGAATTTCCCTGGCATGAGCTGGCCATCTCAGTGAACAGCTACATGTTGGGGTAAGTCCTAATTATCCTGATTACCTAATTATTATGTCTCTATCCATGTATAAATTATATTAGTCCTTAAAAATTGTCCACATTTGGAGCAACAGATACAAGTGAAAAAAATAAAACCCACAAGAATCACCTTTTTCCTCCATTGTTCAATGAAACTTTGGTAACCTTGCCACTTAGAACACACAACATATGACTGACAATATAGCTTAGAGGAGCATTTTTCACGCTTAATTAGCATCAAGTGAGTAAATCCATCCCAAAAGATTTCTCATCATTCAGAAAGAATAGCTTCCACCAAAATTCCATCTTTAAGCTACATCTCAATTACAGCAAAATTATCACCCCAAAATAGTGAGAAATATCTATAAATAAAACCAGCAATTATTTATTTTGGAGGCTTGAAACTGTAACTCACATCTGGGAAAGCTCATATGAAGAAACTGTTAACTTTGCAGTGAGAAAAATTCTGAAATTTTTAGCAATCTCCAAAAAAAAGCAGGAATCTTGCAATCACTTTGGGTAATTCCATATACGATGTATGCAGGGCTTTTTTTAAAGCAATATAGAAAAGAAGAGAAGACTGAAAGAAGGCAAATAGTTCTGATCTCAGAGGTTTTCTGAGAGAAAAACTTCTCATGTTTCAGCCTGCCTCAGAGCCTTGTTCCATCCACACTTGGAGGTGGCTGGAGATGACTGTCTGTCAAATCTATACAACCTTACCTAACTCAAGTACTTTTCTAGGGCATTTATGGAACAACTTTTCTGTACCTACATATGTAACCTCATGCTGGTATCTCAGCAATGTAAAACACCACTGCGCTTGATCAAGACTTCTCTTGTAAGCACACAAGCTGCCAGTGTCAATTAGCTTGAATGTTGGTAATGAGTGAGCTAAGAAATATCAAATGAGCAGCAGAGTGTGAAGAGAATCTGAAGGGCTACTTCCAAGGAGTCAGAACTTTACCAGCTTATGTGAGAATTCCTTGTTATCACAGGATTTGTAATTCAGTGCTTGAAAATCCGAACAAACAGCAGACTCACACTCTAACAGTTGTGAAATCTTTTACAATCAAACACAGCAGTCAGCTAGGTAACTCTGCTTTACAGAAAAAGAGATTTCTCAGATTCTCCCTCTCCAAGGAGGATTTCTGGTTACCCAGGAGCCCATATACTTTGGCTATGACCTACTCACAGCAGCAAGTTTTGTCTTCCAACTTTGTGAACAGAAACTGACATAGGAGAAATGTGGATTTCACAATTACAACTCCAAGTAAGGCAATATTCCTACCAAAGGAGCAACAGACTAGATGCTTATTCATTCCTTTACAACCCCCATGCTTGTGATGCTTTGAATTTCCAAGTAAAACAACAAAAAAGGACCACAACAGGAAGGTGATACAAGAGATAAAGACATTTGAGTGCAGATGCCTGAACAGCCACACCTGAATTCTTGCTGAGGCAGAAAATGAGCAAAGGAGCTTTTGGGTCTGGTTTTGTTCATCTTTGTTATTTCAGAAAACACATTAACTTCAGCAAGAATAGTGAGTGCTGCCACTTATCCACATCTGATTTTGCAAGTAGGTCTGAAAGATGGAGTTTCTGTTTCACCAGACTGCAACTTGACTCACTCTAAACAACTATTTTCCTGTAAAATATGTGTCTGTGTATATGGACATACACACTATGTGTTCTTCACAGGAATTTAGGTTTATAGAAAGCTTGCTTGAAACCCATAGTTCCAATGCATACCTTGGAGTAATCACAGAAAATTAAACTATCTGCAAAAAAGGATTTGTGGAAAGACATGAAATAACTAAAACAGTTGAGAAAACGTTCTAACAGCCCTTTAGTGCATAAAAACCAAGTTAAGCATTTTCCTATAAGATTGAAGCAATGTTATTAAAAAAAAAAAAAAAGAAGAAGAAAATGGTCAAGTTTCCATCTGTGCACTGTAATAAGCATTCCAGAAATTGAATTCAGAGAAAAACATTTTATGAATTTGGGCATAAACTGTTTTCCCTAGAAATGTAGCTGACAGCAGCAAAAGGTCTTTATGAGCTGGACCTATAGCAATGAGTGGCAAGTATGATTTAGGGACACCTGAATACCACTTGCATTCTTGAGTTATGAGGACTTAAAACTTTTAAAGGCCAGTCACTGCAGCATTGAGAAACTGCCCTAGAGAAACTGCCAGGAATTGCAAGTAGCCAAGTTGCACAAGCCATCAGGGAATACTGAAGGATGCATATTGGAAGGGCAGGAAGAAGCTCAGTGTTAGATGTTGGCAGACTCACTGATTTCCAAGCCCAAGTTTTCCCTTCATCAATGCTTGGCAAGGTGAGAGGAGTACAGAGAGGCAGGGCAAAGGGGAGCAGAAGGAAAAGAAAAGGAATGACTATAGAAGAAGAAAAACTCTCTGAGGAGAACACAAACCTGGATGATTAGGACTAGTTTGGGGTCTAAGATCAGAAAAAACAGAAAATTATCATTACTCAAAAAAATTACATGCAAAACTGAGGGAAGACAAAACCTTTTGTTTGGCTGTGAGTGAAGTTCAAAAGGCAAGAGATACTGAGCATCACACTATAACTGGAACTGTCTCATAGTCAAAAAGATTTACATATTCACTTTGATGCTTCCAGAGTTTTTCAATCCCTTACACCTATATATCTTTAACTGTGTTCCCACTTAAAACAAACAAATAAACAAAACTCCCAACATTCTAAAGATAAATTTAAGGTAAGTCTTATACTTTTCTAGGAAGATAAGAAACATAATCTCATTTTTGCAGTATATTTTGGTGCTCAAGCCTAAAAGAGGCACTTACTCAGTACCAAAGTAACCAGAAAAGGAAAGAAATGAAATTCCAGAATTTAAGCTAAATTAATCTCCCACTTGGTTTGAATTCTGTGTATTTCTCACAAAGCTCCACAACAGATGCTTAACCTACACATACTGACTTGCTTGCTTGGTAAAATACTTGGCACACTAATGTTGCAATATTATTAAACCTGGTCATACCATCTGCAATCCATTTTTAGTTGTAAAATGATATTTTAATAGAAATGAACAACATATATAATCTTCTTACATTTTCCACCCTAACAATAATAACAGAGCAAACTAAATATTCCAGAAATTGGAGTAAGTCTATTCAAAGCATGTTTTACAAGGACTACTTCATGGTCTTTTGTCAGAAATTCACATAAAAACACAGAACAAATTTAAATAGTTCTCTGAACAAAACCAGTTGAATGAAATACTTAATATCTGCATCACTTACCCAGTCCCAGCCCCACAAATTCATCAGGTGCCTGATCCTTTGTTCCAGTAAAAGAACCTTCCCTGCCACGCACTGTCCCTGAGATGTAGCGAGGTTTTACTCCAGTTCCTATTAGCTGTGCCAGTTCAAGCTGACTGATGCATTTCAGAATCTATTGCAGAGAATGAAGAAGTTGTTTACCAACCAAAAGCAGTTTGAAATAGTAAAAATCAAGTAAAGCTCCTTAGAAGGAAAAAATTCCAATACTTGAGGTCAAAAAATCTGGTTTTTTTTCTAAAATGAATATAATTTAAATAGTACTGGATTAGTCCCTCTCAGTTTTATTTCTCACTTAGACACATTTTGCTACTTTAAGAAGTGTACATGCAGCACTTACCTAAACCCCACTGTGTTTATGCACAAACAAGCACACTACTGTGCTGAGAATCAGTGAACATGCTTTCTTACAGTTCAAGTACAAATGACTTGTACCTCATGCCAGGAATTTCCCAAATAGTTTCCATCTGTATGAGCCACGGTGATGAGAGTTTTAATGGTGTCAATGTTCTTCTGCTTCATTTCAGTAATACCAGAACTCACTGTAAGCAATGTAAATCTTGCTAGTGCTTGAACATAGGCATCTCTTTCAAGCTGCAAATGGGAAGGAAAGAAACACAAGTCTCATAAATATTTTTGCCATTTCTTGTTCTTAGTACAATCCGTATGATTTCATCAACTATACCATTTATCTTTCTCTTCCTAGAACTGAATTTCCAAAGCATATTGAAAATATCTCAAGTTCTTCACCAGTAACGAGATATCTGTGGGATGAAATCAGGTTCCTTCTACTCAGGAACATGAAGTGTAATGTCTGACAGCACAGGACATATAAGATGTGCTTACATTTCTGGTTTGGTATTTGTGGGGAAAAGAGGATGCTGCTTCAGAAGAAATGTTGCTAATTAGCTAAGTTTTCAGTATTCTTCTACCATACTCAGACCTACTCTGAAAATGCTGCCTTAAGCAGACTCCTTGAAGCTTTAGCATTTTTTTGTCAATAAAATCTAAAAAATGTATCTAAAAGGCAAGTTATGCCAATTCTGTGTAATTACTCAAAACCTATTTGACTTAATTTGCACCATTTGGAGCATCTCAGAAGCTTCTGAAGAAGTGTCATGGGTAAACATCAAGTGACCAAAATCTAGACAGATCTCACAAAAGAAAATTCCAATTTTTACCCAATTTTTATATGTATGGTATCTAAAAGCAACAAAGGGAACTTCTCAGATTTCACATGAACCAATTACAATGGTAAAAAGGGGATTACAGTTGAGCCCACAAGTGCATTTTATTCTCCTGTTATGTATAAACTGAAGGCTGTAAAATGAAATGGTTCTACACCAGATAAACAAATGACAATTACGAAATATATTTAACTGTTTGGATATTTAGGGCTATTTTTAAAGTAAAAAATCAGTGAGCATGGAAAACAACCAAATATAAAATACAAAAAAAAACCCCCAAGAAACAATGGGATTCCACAGAGAAAACACTAACACCACAATAGTGGGCTATGGTAGAGGGGACAGACTGACACTGAGCAACTGACTGCAGAACAGCTGCCACATTCAAAGCCAACCATTACTGCAGGGTATGCTGGCAAAGGCAAAGAAAATGATGTAGAAGCACAGAAAAATGAAGTCTCAAAGAAAGAGTACTAAGCAACGAAGCTTTAGACTCTACAAACTGCATATTTTCTGTAAAAACAAAACATTTTCAGTCCTACTCATTCATGCAGGTATTCCCCCCTCCCCCCTTTTTCTAAGCCACCACAGGAGAAGACAAACAACTAAATAATGTGTCCATCATTCAGAAATTGAAACTTGATGATATAAGTAGATTAGGTGCATCCTTCTGATGCATATCTTTTCTCAGATGCTTAAAAACAAAAGTGTGACAAGTCTAAGATTAAAAGTATAAATAATTAAAACCAGAATCTATAATTGAGGTTTTAGAGGTGAACATGCATAACTTAAACTATATTGTGTACTTTGGAATTTTTCTTAAAATTAAAGGAATCCAGGTCCCTCCATTATCTCCCAAGGTGTGTAAATGTTAACTCTTAATAGACATCAATCTTAATTTCTGTACATTTCCACAATGAAAACTGGAAAGTTGCCATCACTGGTTAAGCACGTGACGAAAAAATTCATTACAACAGAAAAGATGCTTAAACCAGCTCAAATACTGATGTGCCAGTCTCCTTCAAATCATCAGAGCTATACGGTGTCTGCAGTCAGACAATATCCCACCTAACCAAGACCTTGTGAACTGGAATCATCCTGTAACACTGAAATTACCAACAAACCAGTACTGTTTTTAATTATATCAACAAGACAGAATTTCCACAGAGAACCAAGTAGCAATGCTTACACTGAAAATGCAAAAGCAACGCTTCCGTTTTCTGAAATTTAAAAATTTGTTTTTGGAATACCTCCAGTTCAATCATGTCCCAAGCCAGTGGAAGGGTACAAATGAATCACAGGGATCCTGGAGCAAACATGTCCTTGCCCTCCCCAGCAAGGCTGACCACTGCAGCACTGGGAGCTAAACTCTGCAGCTGCTGAAACTGGTATTGGTACCAGTTCCACTTCTGCAGTTTAGGAACAAAAGTAACTGAAGTGTGTTTCACTGAACATCTGCAGGCCCCAGGGAAGGCTTTGGTAATCAAATTTTTAAGTCTGTTGAGCTCAGGAACAGGTGGTCATGCAGAAATTAGGTGGAAAAACAGAGGAAAGAAACCTCACATGATCTCAAATGGGCTTTTTTAAGCAGCTGTATCATAGGTCCCGATGTGCTTTTCCACATTAGTGGTAAGTTATCTAACTTGCCAAATACAAATACAAGAAGAGAAGGAAGGAAAGCATTCCCTACTGTATCATAGTTCAACATCTTTTATTTAGTCTAATACAGTTGGTTTTTGGGTTGGTGTGTGTTCTCTTGGTAAGCATTTTCAACATACACATGAAATAACACAAAGCCAAACATGGATTTTGCCTGCCCCTCTCTTCAGCTATGTCTGTAACAGTCTTATGGCAGACCAGTACTCCATTTATTTACTAATAATGTACAATAACATAATTGTACCTTCCCTACCAAATTGCTTCTAAATAGAAAAACAAAAGCCAAAAAAAGCCCCAGTTTAATCACCATGGCTCTCTGGAGCCAGAGAGTCTGGCATTCTTGGCAATGCACTTCATGCAAGATCCATTCATTCATTACATCAGGAATGCCATTTTCAGTGCCATAACTGTTAAAAGGGTACCCATTTAAAGACATCTTGGATTAATATAATCTCTCTGAAGTTGAGAACAGTATTTCAAATCCAGTTCAGAGAGATACTATTTTACAGGATGGAGAGACTCGTTTTATAAAACAACAAAACACACCTAAACAGCTTTGTAGCAATGCTAGAAATAAAATACTTTGACAAAGTATTGACTACAAAAGTAGTCAATTTCTAGGGAAACAAACATTCAGTGCAGAGGCACGGAAGCACTTACCACAAAACACCAGGAAAAATAAAGGTCACCTCCTACCAGTCAAACATCAGATGAAATAGTAATGTCGGAAGCAGGCAGCCTCTATCTATTGCAGTGCACAGCTTCAGCAGCAAGGACACTTAGAATCCCACTAACTTCTTGCCGGTACATAAATCAAAGCATTGTGTCAATCTTACATTTTTTACCTGAATGTTGAAAATGCAAGCAATGCGGATTGCACATCGTATCCCCTCCAAACAGAGAGAGGCAACTTCGGTGTCATCGCAGTCCTGCAGACCCACGCTGAATGCAGCCAGGAAAGGTGTCCATGCCAACTGCAATGGATGCAAAGCAAGTGTTATATCACCAGCAATTGTTGGCACTTGAGGGGAATGTTATGGTTTCACCATCTTGCTGAAGTGTAAATTCCATTCTTAACTTACATAATCAACCTTGAAGCTGTCTTTTGACAAAAATGAAACAGAATATACAGACATGAAACATGTAATGGTAAAAGAATAGACATGAGACAGAATGAGGCAGAAGTAATACAGAGTGGAGCTCCTCTCCAAAGCACTTGTCCTCCCCCTCAGCAACAAACACACAGCCATCTTCAGATAGCTATAAAAACCAAATCCTAAAGCTATGTCAATTAGATGTCTGTTAGAGTTTTAGCACTCCCAGGATGATTTTTATCTCGGCACATTGAAAAATAAACAAACACTTATTGCAATAACCAACACACCATATAACAGATTCATGATAAGGCAAACTTTATTAATCACACTAAAATTATAGTATGCTAACAACAACAACAGCAAAATACAGGACATGACTCTTGCCTTATCTCCCCACTACTCATTTTGCTGCCCTTTCCCTCTATCTTTTTGTACCTAAGCCACAACTGATGTTTCCCACTCCTCTTAGGTGCCACTGAGTACTGCAAGAGAGACCACACAGTCTTTCCCTTGTGGTCAAGTCTCCCTCTTCCAAAGGCAGAAAAAACAGTGAGAAGATGCAGAGGAT